GCTTTAGAGTCCCACTTCAGAGCGGCCTTAATTTTATTTTCAGGTGTGGGACTAATCCATACACCTGATAGGCCTGAGACTCATCTCATCTTCATTCAGAGGTGTGTTTTGTAAAGCCAACTGTCTAGCATATGTGGTCACTTCTCAACAGTTGAAAAAATGGCACTAAAACCTTAATAAACTTCTTAGTGGCATTCTTCACCAGAAGCAATTCCTAATGTTACTCTGACACACATAAGATATGCAGGGTAATCAATGCATGCAATCATGCAATAAATTGTTCAAACCATTACTTTTCTAGATTTAGGGAAGTTTCCATTTGGCTAAACATTATTTTAAAGAAATGCCTGCTATTACACCCTATTTCCTTTATTTCTACTTCTACAGTATAGGAAAATAGATGCTTGTGGAGCATCAGGAGAGCCTTTTGTTTTCTGCTTGCTGTGGCTGTAGCAAGCTCTGCTTTACTCGGCTCAGCTCGAAACTTTTCGCAGTACATACTCAAGAGACCTCAGCTTCCCTGATGACATTGGCCTAATCTCAGCTGCAAGCTACAAGGCAGAGAAGCAGATCCAGACTTGGAAAAACAGGCTTCCCTTGACTGCAGTTGCTGGAGCAGGACATTTTAACCCCAGCTGAGGACTAATCAGCTCTGTATCTTCAGAATGTTATTTGCCCAGTATAAATGACATAAACCAAGATCATCATCTTAGTTTATTTTTCTAGAGTCCTTAGCATGCTACATTAACCTGACAATGCTTAATCTGGTGTTCATTTCACAATACACTTCATGCAATTCACAGCTGTAATTGGTTTTACACTGACATTACACATTTCAACCTAGCCATGGGAAAAGAATAACTCCTAGTAATATTTCTCTGAAAAGTATTCAAGCTCAAACAGCACAGAAGCAGCTCATGTTAGTTGCATGTGCATATTTCTTTCTTCTGCCTTTTCTTTCACTGCAAGCATGATCACTGGCATAAGATTATATGGTCTTTGTTTTAGTCCATTTGCAATTGAACTACGTTTGATTTCTTATGTCCTGAGGAGTTCTCTCTTAAAAAACAGCATTCAAGTATTATAGTTTAACATCCCCATTTTTCTGAGTTAAGAAACAAAGTAGACCTTGGGATTCTGTTTCCATTATGAGCCTTGCAGAGTCCCATAACTGATAGCCATAAAGTCTTCCTTTGTAACACACACTCAGCACTAAAGCCAGAGTATTGCTATTTGGCATTATCCAGTGAAGTGCAAGAAATTAAATAAGTTATGTCTTTATTGCTATAGTACAATACCAAGCAAAGTCACTTTTTAATACAATTGCAAGAGTTTCATAGAGTACATGTCCCTCTTCTTATGGGCCAGTAGTTCAGCTGCACTGCATCACTTAACTATCACATCTCAAATATCAGTCTAAGAAGATGTGTTGAGTATTCTTGAGTCTGAAGAATCAGACCTTTCCTCATATTCATCTTCTGTGTAAATCGGTTGCTTTGACACAATAGGACACCCATCATCAGGAATTGAGATCCTAGGATCTTCTGACGAGCGGGAAGGAAGGACAGGTGAGCTTCGGAAAATGCTGGCTGAGTTGCTAGAGAAAGGACTCACGTACTGGGACCGCAGCTGGTACTGCTGCTGCAGTGTCATGGTGTTCCACAGGGTGACATCGTTGGGCAGGAACGGACTGGATTGGTTTCTTGCCAAAGTGTTCCTCAGCATCAGTGGGTACCGCGGCGGCTGAGGGAAGGGGTGCTGCAAAGGCACAGCCAGAGGATTTGGCACAACATTACTGGTATCGGCAGAGAACCTCAGTGTGTCAGGAACCCTAAATGCTGAGCCCACAGACCACTTGGAAGATGAAATAGGGTAAGAACTCAGAGTATGTTCAAAAATATGCCCGTTGGAAGGCAAAACAAGACCATCAGATTCTGCGGAAGTTCTCTCCCCACTGGCCACTGAAGACCGACTGGAAAGGAGAACCTCTACAGCACTCACCAGATCACCACCACACCCCTTCAAGATCAACTCCAACACAGTTGGCTTTTGGTTAGGGAAGATCTTTTTCAAGACTTCCAGTGGAGGTCTGTTTGCTTTCAAACTGAATGGTAAAGAAACTGTCCCAGAAGGACCTTCTATCAGGAAGTGGTTCTGCTCTGGGTGGTACTTGGGGCTGTCTGGACAGTTCTCTGTGCTCCCACCATTTTTCTGAACTGCATAACCAACTTCATCCACTGAAACAATTTCAGGGCTTTCAGGGGTGAAACAACTTTTGGATTTAGTCATGTCTGGGGAACTCCTTTGGTCTGTGTCTTTGTCAGTGTAGGTCTCAGCACTGTCTGCTCCACTGGCATCACCCAACCGCTCCTCATTCATGTCTGCAAAAAGAAGTCAAAGAAGTTAACGAAAAACTGAAGTCAAAAGCTTTTATAGATATTTGAGGATACAGTCTTCTTAAAGTGAACACTGCAGAATCCCACAGTATAAAAATGTGCATTTTTTTCCACAGAGATCCTGCAAAAATTAAGGTATCTGCAACATCTCATGAGAATAAAACTGCAAAAGAATAATGTGACCTGGTCCAGGCATATTATGCTGCCTTATAGATATCTGTGTCATTTCTTCCATGTGCAGGAAAAGAACCTGTGATCATTTTTCTGCTGCATCAAATATGCTCTATCAGTTGTCTCTTGCTGGTTACAAGGGAGCAACAACCACCCAAGTGCAAGCTTTCTCAGAGGAACTCCAGTACTTTCACATCATAATTCCTCACTAGTACCGTTTCATTTTCTGTGAGCTGAAGAAGGCACTTGGGAGACCAAAATTCCCTCTGCAAGTCCAACAGCATTGGTGGAACCACTCCATCATGACTACCGGTTGAAGGTTTAAATAGTCTTCAAATTAATCACTGTATTCCAGTTCTGCCTCTGCAGAAACTGGTTCCCCCCACAGCAAGAAACACAGGTTTTTCCTCCAAACCTTTAAGTACTGCTGATTCCTTGGCCCATTCAAGCACAGATTCTAGAAAGGTCTGGTTAGGAGAAGACCTCTGGGAGGCATTTGGTCTAACATCCTGTTCAAAACAGGAGCAACCTCAAACATAGAACATGTTGCTCGTGTCCCCTGAGTTTTAAATGATTCCAACAATGCAGAGCCCACAACATCTTTTAGCACTTGTTCCAGGTATCTTGCTTTTTGCATGCTAAAATAAGAAGGATGACAGCTGAGTACAGGGCTGAAAACAAGTCCATTGACCATGCTGTCTCCAAATGGACATAATGGGAACACTCCAAATCTCTGGTCACTTTGGTAATGCCTGACGAGAGTATGGAATCCTTTGAAATAAAACTGTCAGCAAGAAGAAAAAGGGAAGCAAGACTGACAGCCTTTACAGCTTATGCACAAGGGGGTCAATACACTTGCTTGCAATTGTTCACAGTTATTCCCAAGAACACAATTGTGTTGGTCTTTCTCATAGAGCACAATGATGTTATGCTAGGGAAGCATCAATACACGGGGAAATGGTTGTTGTCCAAGATGCAACTGACAGACCCTACTTTAACTGCACAGGGCAGTGCTTCTGAACACACATATGTGAAAGACTGCCTGCAGAAAAACAACACAATTATTTGCTTGGTTTCCCAAGGCCTTGGTAAACAGTCCAAACAGATCAAGCAGGCAAAGGTTCCCAAAATGTGATGTCTCCCCTGTCCAACCAAGATGGAACCAGTTAGAGGTGTGCAAGCACCTGAGCCTCTCTGCTCACCACTTCCTGCCACCCTCTTACCCCAGGTACAGGCAGGGCATCTCTCCACACAGTAGAATAAGCCTAGTGTTTAACAGATCAGTTTGAGACAAAGTCTATTAGTGCAACTTACCCACCTTGACAGAGAAAGAAGTCAAGGTCTGAGCAAGCCTGCACTGAGCAACAAGTCACTATGGTCACCAAAATGAGAGCTATAAATAAATACCCAGCACAGCCTGACAGCATGAGCATGGCAAAGGGAGGCTCTCCTCATGAGGGTGGCTGTACCTGGCAGAAGTGATGGGCTATCCTACAGAGCTGTGGGATGCTGCTGGCTTGGGCTGTGGAAGAGAGTCATGTAGCTGATGAATACAGATGCCCTTATGGAGATCTCACTCTTCTCTTTTAGCAGGATAACTTGTTTTGGATACCCAGTTTTATATTGGTTGTGCTCTCTGCAAATGGAGAAGCTGTAACTCCTCCTGTCGCTGTATAACAGAAAAGGCAATGTATGTATCCTCTTTCTCATACACTCAGTGCATCAGTCTTGCCTTAGCAGCCAAAGCTGAATGCAGAACTTGTATGCTGGTAGCAAACTGGCAACGTGCATTCTTTTGAGGAGGTGGTAAGACGTCGGCATGGCTCATCCATTATTTGAGAAAAAGTGAGGCTCATGCTACCTTTCCCTCCTAATCCCTTCACATGTTTATAATTAGCATTTATTACAAAAGACAGGACACTAACAATTATTTGCATCTGAGTGAGCGGCCAATTTATACATGAAAGGTTTAGCGCGCAGTGCGAGCACATCTAACTACCTCTGTCCCTGTCTGAACAGAGTTAGAGAGGCTGTTAAGGGAGAGGATAGCCCTAATTTTCACATAGATAGATTGCACTGTGGTACCCAGTATTACCAAATGGACTACATGTAAGCAGAGCATATTTCAGACCCACTGCAGATTTACAGTCTGTCTTATGGAATGAGTACCACTGGGAAGAAAATATGTACTTAAACAAACAAAAGAAAAAAAACAAACAACAGAAAAAAAACCCCAAAAAACAAAAAAAAAAACCACCACCCCATACCAGATAGTTCTCTAATATATTTTCCAATCCTTACAACATATTATTTTCAGATTTGCTTAATTTTCAGTACCCTTAAAAGTATCCTTATGAGGCTTGCCTAAAAAATTTTGAAAGGCTGAAAACTTATCCCACTGAAGTTTGCATCTTTATCATCGGGAGATCGCACAGATCCCGACTCTTAACCTTGCAAAGGGACAGTCTCCTCGTACAGCACAAATCAGAACGGCGCATCTCATCGGGCTGTTAAGACTCACAGGGACAGACCCGAATAGCGAGATTTCGGTGATTTAAATCAAAGTGCTGCTATTAACACACGGAGAATTACACTCCGTTACCTAACCCTGAGCACGGAATCTGTTGTATTTTTCCTTCTGCCTTTTTGAGAGTATTTCTGGCCGTGTCACACCCCGGGGCCCGGGCGGGTCGTATGGGCGGCTGCCCGCTGACCCTGACCTGGCCGGCCCCCGGAGCTCCCCTGTTTGACAGGCTGTGTTTTGACTGCTTTTCCCCCACCAGAACACCCCTTGCCCGCCTCGCCAGGGGTGCGGGAAGGGCCACGAGGAAGGCGCGGTCCGGGGACTGTCCCCGACCTTCCGTGGGAACCGCCGCGACCAGGCGGTTTAAAACTGACACAAAACAACAATCGTTAAATAAACAAAAATTTGGGAAGATACATTATAAATGTCCTTACGGAGGCAATAAATTGTAGCAATATTGCATGCATGTATTATTCCCAAATGCTTCCAATTTTCAGGCACAAAAATAATTCTGTTCAGAATGTACACCTTGCTGCTCCTCACCAAGGCTATTTTTTGCATCACTCATAAACTTCAGATGAGGATGTTCTAAGCTTCAAGGAAGAAATCTCGTCCTCAGACTTTTTTTTTATGTTTGTGCGGTTTGGGTGTTGTGTTTTGTTTTGTGTGGGGTTTGGGATCTTTTGTTGTGTGGGGAGGGTTTTGTTGTTGATGGTTGGTTGTTTTGGTTTAGTTTGGCTTTGGGTTTTTTGTAGGGTTTGGTTTGGGTTTGGGGGTTGTTTTTGTGTATGTGTGCTGTTGGGTTTCCCCTCTCCCCCCGCCTCCCCACTCTCGACACTTTCTATTCTAAATGGCCTACTATCAAGTATCCACTTTGTGATACCTAGGAAAACCAAGGAAACTGTTTTCCTATTGATATAAACGACGGAGAGTATTCACCAAATATTATGCAGAGACAATACAAGCCCAGAACGACAGAGATGCAGTGCAAATACAGATACACATGAAACAAAAAACAGTGGGAGAACCGTGCATGCATTTACGGTAAAATATAAATTAATAAACAAGCTGCTACGAATTTGGAACAATATATACCCCATTTTTTCTCTGACTATTTATATATTAAGGATCATGAGTCAAATGTCGTAAAGGGGCCAAATAAAAGTAAAACGGGTGTGAGAGGTAATATCTTCTCGTCAAATTACTAACTTGTCAGGAAAAACTAGTCTAATACTTTGGAACCAAATTTGCTTCCTTAATATTCCCACCGCTGACTCCCTGTTAAAACAGCTTGTTCTTTGATTGTCAGGACAGCTAGTTTCACAACACAGATTTTCTTGGATCCCAAAAGTATCTGCTTTTCCCTTATTTCCATTATTAGAAAGGACTGATACAAGAACTAGCATAAACCCACAAAAAGCTAAGGTGGTTGGTTACTGTTTTTGTGGGGTTTTGTTTGTTTGTTTCTTGTTGATTGCTTTTAGGGTTATTTTTTTGCTCGGGTGGTCTGTTGTGGGTTTTTTTTGTTTGGTTTTTTTTTTTATTTTGCTGTGTGTTTGGAGGAGGAGGGACTGTTAGTTTGATTTGGGCTGGGATTTTTAAAAATTACATTCACTTCAGACTTTCTTCCCTATTTTCAGAGGTCTAAGGTACTTTATGGGAGACTAACAAGGAGACCGCTGTGCTGCATTAAGAAGCTGGTTTTGAATATAACAGGCAACCAAATATAGGACTATATTGTTTACAAGCCTTGATAACTACTACTAAGAGAAACGTAACACACTCTCATGTGGGAGAGTTCATGAGTGCAGTATCAGGAGAAGGAATCATTGCAGATTAGCAGAGGCAGATGCAACAGGGGTAGTTTCTAGGCATGCCATTTACACAGAACAGAATTTCACAACCATCCCACCGAAATGACCGATTCTGGCAAGAACAACAGCAAACAGAACTATTCTGTTGTACATTGGGAAATACCCACTCCGCAGTGAAAAAAAATTATTTCAGGAGATTAATGTACTCGCGGGGAAAGGGTGTAGGGGTGTGGGGGTGTTAGAAACGGGGTGGAAAAATAATTATATCCTCTGTTCTGACGACAATTTTAGTGCAGGTAGTGAGGAGAGAGGGAAGAGAAAGCGCTGCTGCTCAGAGCACGCAGGACGGTTGGAAATAAACAAGTTGTGTGCTTAAACAGTGCTCAGTGGCAGGTGACAGGAGGACCCCCTGAGGAGATCATTTTCAGCTTTTCTCTCCCGCATCCTCATATTCATAAAAAGTGGGGGAGAAAACCTCTGTAAAAATCGGGGACAGGAGACCAGGCGGATGAGGTCTGTGTAAGCGGGGAGGCTTCCGGCTGTCCCACGGTG